TTTTTCCTAAAAAAAAAAAAAAAATAAAAAAATAAAAAAAAATTTATATTATAAAGTTATTGATAAAAAATTATATAAAAATATAGTTAATATATAAAAATATTACCTGTTCGTGGATCTAATGGTAATTGAGCTAAATGATATCCTAAAGGAGTCAAATGTTCCTCATCATCTAATGCATTTAAAGTTTGAAGTAGATCCAAAGACAAATCTATAGCTTTTGAACTTGGAGGATCCATAACACTAGCCAAAAAAGTTCTAGCTTTTCCTAATTGTAAAATTTTTATTTGCAAAATGACTTCCTCTAAACGCGCTCTTAACATTTCAGGCAATGGATATTGATCTAGTGTCATCTCTCTAGCTTTAGAATACAAATGATAACAAATACCAGGTTTTACTCTAAAAAATATATATCATTGAAGTACAAATTTTAAAAAATATTTTAATTTTTTCTTTAACTTTTTTGAAATATTTTACCTGCCTGCTCTACCTCTTCTCTGTTTAGCATTAGCTAGTGATACCCATTCAGGTTCCAAAGTTTGGATATTTTTTTGAATATCAAATTTACCAAATTTCATTTTTCCACAATCAATAACATATACTACATCTTCAATAGTTATAGAAGTTTCAGCTATAGAAGTAGCAATTATAATTTTTCGAACTCCTTTAGGTGGTTCCTTAAATATGAGTTTTTGATCAATAGTTGGCATACGAGAGTGAAGAGGATAAATAACATAATGACCTATAAAAAATAATTTTTTTAGATTTATAATTATAAATTATAATGAAATCAAACAGTTTATAATAATAATCCGTCACAATTAAATTCATCAAAATTAAATATACTTACTTTGTGAATAGCATCCAGTATCTAACATCATTCTATTTAACTTTGTTATATCCATCATACCAGGAAGAAAAACTAAAATAGCTCCAGGAGCTTTTGTTCTACAAATATGCCTAATTAATTGTTCTATAAGATCAAGAGACATCATTTCACTGTACGGATTCCGTAATTGATCAATCACTTCTCTTGGATACTTTTTCTATAATACACAAAAACAAAAAAGAAAAATATAAACATAATATATATAATAATAAAAGCAGATTATTTACCTCAGCTATAAGCTGTCGTATGTAAGGATCTAGCACATCATGAAATTCATCTCTTTTTTGTTGTACTTGTTTATATTTTTTTGTATGCTTTCTATAATCTTGAGGCAATGCAGCTGCTGCAGGAAATTTAAATCTAAAATTTAAATTATATTATTTAAGTTATTGCAATTATAATTTTTATATATTTTTTTAATGATATATATAAACTTACTCTGTAAGCATTAAAATATCTTCTAAATAAAATTCTTCTACTGGATAAGTAAAACCTGGAATATGAATCATCGGACAATCATCATAATATTTTGAAAATCTTTCAGAATTAAGTGTTGCACTCATTAAGAGGATTTTTAAATCAGGTCTCTAAAAAATAATTTTATATATTTAATATAAGAAATATATAAGAAGAAATAATAATAAATTTATTCTGAATCAAGTTAATTTAACATACTTTAGGAATAATTAATTTCAACAAAGCAAGAACAAAATCACTTTCTGTAGATCGTTCATGAATTTCATCTAATATAATATGAGAAAATTCTTTTAAAGCAGGATCACCTTGTAAAAATTGCAATAGCATTCCAGTAGTACAAAATAGTATACTACCTCTCTCTCTTGGCAATATTCTATATATAAAAAAATACAATATAATTTATCATCTTTTAGATAAATTAATAAAAAAATAAAAAGAAATTAACATACTTCTCAAGCCGAATTTGAAAACCAACAGATTTACCAAGATTTTCTGCTCTTTCAGTTGCTACTCTTTCAGCAACAGATATAGCCGATATTCTTCTAGGTTGAGTACAAATAATTCTTGTAATACTACCATTACCTTCTTCTATTTGTTCATCCAATATAAACTGAGCAACCTGTGTTGTCTTTCCACAACCTAAAATACATCTGTATAATAGCTGTATCTATAATCTATAATAATCCATTTAAAAACATATCAAAATACATAAATACATATAGAATACATGCATTAAATAAATAAATAGATAACATAAATAAAAATAATCTTGTACTTTTTAAAAGGAATTATATTATTTATAATTAATTTTAAATAAAAAATAAACTTACCAGTTTCTCCACTTATTACAATAACTTGATTTTCTTTAATTAATTCTAATATCTCTGATTTTTTTTTATATGATGGTAACTTTGATCTGACTTTTATCATATCCATATATTTCTGTAAAGATTGTTTTGCCTTATATTCAGCTATTAACTTGGTATCTAACTCAATGTCTCTTTCTAATTTTGATTTAACCATTAAAGCTTTGGCAAGATTTTCTTGTATGTTACCAGATACCATGTTCATGAACTTTCTTTTAAACTGAGAGTCATGAATATGTATATATTTATTTTCCAATGTGCCATATGTAACTTCAGTATATGCATTGTTATATAATTTATCATAATAATCTTTAGAATTTTCTAGTACATTTTTTATTTTTTCTTGAACATGTAAAGGTAATTTAACTCGAGATTCCTTTTGTTTAGCTTTTGCTTTAGCCTTATCTCTATAATAAAGTCCTATCTCTTTTCCAGATAACCAAGGTGGATGTCCTTGTCCTCTACCTCTTGTTCGATTACCACGTTCAAAATGTGATCCACCAGGTTGAGAACTTTCGCCTCTACCTCCTAAATACACATATGTTAAAGATAAAATACATGAAAATTAAATACAAAAACTTAAAATCATCATTTTTAATATGCAATATTGATAAATATCAAAGCAAAAATCTAACCTAAATATTATTAAATTCTTATGAAATTTGGAAATAATAATTAAATATATTATGTAAATATTATGAATATTCAAAAAAGATAAAGTTATACGATATAATTTTAAAACAAAAAATAATTATGTATATATATATATATTATAATTTTCAAATAATTTTGCTTACCATGTTTACGTCTTGGATGCATTCTTTGCTGAAAAAAATGAAAAGAACCGATAAGAATAAGACATTCTTACTTTAACTAATCAAAGATTATTACATTTTGTTTCCCATATAAAAGTTTTCAACTACTTACTTAAATATTGACAAATTCGGCGCTCTATTCGAAAACACTGTATTATCATTTTCACTAAAAATGTCTCTAAAGTTAAACGATTGGTGCATATTATATCCAACCAAGATTTAGCTTATACATTAATTGTTATCTTTTTAATATACAATTAATTTATTACATAAGACCAAAAAAACTTTATTTATTTAAAAAATATTAAAAACTATTTGATGTATGCTTAAATCAGATAGTAACTAAAACTAATGTATAGTTATACTTAGATGGAAAATATGTGAAAGCAATTTTCATCTCTCGAGACTACATTTTTCTCACTAGTATTATTTCTTCATAAAATAAAGTCTCTAGTAAGTTAACACGTAAATGGTTAGACATATCTGCCGATTTCTGTGCATATGTACAGTGAGCTTCGTTTAATTATCCCAAAGAGTAGTGCATGCATATAAGAAATCAGACATGGGTAGCACAGAGGTAACACCGGTTCCAAAAAGATTAAGCGAAAGCAATGATATCAATGATATTTATGGCCCAAACTTGAAAATTCTTCCATGTAATAATCAAGTAAAGGAATTACAAACTATATTGCGAGACAAGTAAGTAAATCGACGAAAAAAATTATTAGATTTGGCGTATACAAATATTTTTTTTTAGCATTAAAATGCCGGCATGATGCCGGTGTGTCATTGTGTCATTTGTCTTCAATTAAATAATTTAATGGACACGATGCATCTCCGTTTACAGAAATACCACGAGGAGCGATTTCAAGTTCTATGCCGACCGCCTGGTGAGTTTTATTTTTTATTTAATTATATACTTTGACACATTGTCATGTACTTTTAAAATAATTTTCATTTGTTTAAACTATTTATAATTAAAAATTTATAATTGTAAAGAAAACACATGTTTGGTAAAAACTAGAAACTCGATAATATTCATCTTTATTTTACGAATAAACTTTTTCGTCAATCATTGTAAGAATTTCTTTACTCAAAACTTTATATTTTCATATTGTTATAAGAAAATATTTATTTAAATAAAATTTACTTATATAGTTATCGTGAGAATTAATGAAAATTTTTTTTTCTCTATATTTATTTGTATTAATATTCTTTTGAAATGGATAAATCAAAATTGCATTAGATATTATATTTATAATAAAAATATGAAATTAATTAATAAATAAATTTTTAGATAAGGTTGGTGATAGAAGAAAGTTTAAATCAATTACCTTTTTCTAAATGTGTAGTAACTACACCAACTGGTGCCAAATACAATGGTTTGAAATATCAAAAAGGCAATTGTGGAGTTTCTATAGTAAGAAGTGGAGAAGCTATGGAACAAGTATATTATAAATTTGACTAATAATTGAAATTATCAGATATTAATTATTATTTTTTTTTTTTTTTTAGGGTTTAAGAGACTGTTGTCGTAGTATAAGGATTGGAAAAATATTAGTTGAAAGTGATGCAGATACACATGAAGCCAAAGTAGTTTATGCAAAATTTCCAGATGACATATCTGAAAGAAAAGTTTTATTAATGTATCCAATAATGAGTAGGTATAATAATTTTAAGTTTTATATTTAATCTTTTCTATTCATTATATTATAAGATCAATGGTTTATTTTAAATGAAAGGTACTGGGAATACTGTGATAAAAGCAATTGCTGTCCTAAAAGAACACAATGTACTTGAAGAAAATATTATTTTATCAAATTTATTTTGTACACCAATTGCAGCTAAATCTCTAGTCACTGCCTTTCCTCAGGTCTGTATATCTTCTTAAATGTAATTATTTAATAGGATATTTTCTTTTATATCATTAAATCATGAAATTATTTTTTATAATTTTTGTTAAATATTAAATATTATTTATTAAATATTAGATGAAATTTATTTAACAAAAAAAATATTTTAAAAATAAATATTATTTATTTTTTTTTTTTATATTTTTATTATATATTTTTTTTATTATATTATTAATTTTAATCAGTAAAATATAAATTATTTTATTATATATATTATATAATATATGTACTATAATAATAAATCAAAATTAGTACATTATATATATATTTTTAATGAAATTATATTTTATTTTACAGATGAAGATTTTAACATCAGAAATTCATAGCATTGCCCCAAATCATTTTGGACAGAAATACTTTGGTACGGATTAATTATATTTTATTAGCATAATATACATATAAATATATATATATAATATATATATACATATATCATAAACTAGTATTTATAATAGTTAAAACTAATAGAAAATCAGATGCAGAAGGTAACATGTTTATTTAGATCATAATCATAGGGCATAATACAGTTTATAAAATAATTAATACAGGAAAAAAATAATGATATTCTGTTTATAACATTGTTATTACTAATTTTTATAAGTTATTTGATTTAATACATAAAAAATAATTTAAATATTGAACTTGAACACTGAACATCAATTCAAATAATTACATAATTCACAATTCATTATTATGTTTAATTCATTTTCATTATACTTCTTTTTTCTGATGAATTTCCTAATCTAGAAATATTTTAATTTCTTAAAAAAAAAAAAAAAACATGAAAATTAATTAAATATACTTAATATATGTATAGATTTTAGTATAAAAAACTTTATATGCAATTGAATATGAAAACATTGCACATATTAAACAAGCATAATTTTGCATAATATTTAATTTGTTTATTAGTAACTCAAAGAATTTAATAAATTATTTAATTTTATTTTAGTATTGGTATCTATTATGTTTATAAAAAAAATATATGTGAAAAATACATATATATATATAGTATAAATAATTATGGAATTAAAATATATAAATAAAATATGGAAATAAAGTATCATTTAAAAACTAAAAACTAAAAACTATTAAAAATTTTATATAACTTCAATAATACTGTATTATGTCATAATTTAAAGTTTCGTAAAAGCATTTATCTTTATATGTTTTACAAATTTATTTTTATAATATTCCCAAAATGCATAAATATATTTAAAGACATATTTTGAAGATTATGGCATTTTTGGAAATATTTTTAACATATGCTTCTCTATTTCCAACTTATTGCAATTCTTAACTAATAAAAAAAAATTTTTGTTTGTTATTTTTAAAAACTTATAAGTACATTGAAAGCATATGATAAATGATTTATTATTCTAATTGCATCTATGTAAATATGTATGTATTTTATTTTCTATTAAAAAAATCTATTTATTTTTTATTCAAAAAATATTCTAAAATTTATATTATAGTTGATATTTGTATTTATAAAATCATGTGAACCTTCTGTAAATTGATTTTCTGCACTTAATGACTGTAAGTAATATATAGATTATTATTCATTACTGCATAATATATCAATTTTTTTCTATTTTTTGTTCTGAATAATGTAAATTTTCAATATTTTCATTTTCAATGAAGCAAGTATTTCTATAGTAAAATATTATATTGCATTAAATAATGTGCAACATGTAATAATAATTTATTTTAAGTAACCATTTATTAAGATGATAATTCAGTGAAAAATAATTGTTAAAAATTTAACTGTAAAAAAAAGATTAAATTTTAAATATTTTTTTAATTTAATAATTTAGTTTAGCAAAGATATATGCGATATGAGTTTTCAGAAATTTCATGAACAATTTTGTAAAATTACACAATTACAAAACAAATATTAATTTTTTTTTTATTTTTTTATATTATTATAAAGTAACATATTAAAAAAGTTACTATAAAGTAACTTATAAAATTTGTAATAATAACATAAATTTATAATGAACTATAATACTAAAAATCTTATTAAAGAATTATTGGATAATTTCCAATAATTTCATGTAATTGTAACAAAGAGTATAAAATAATGCATAATATTGTCTAAATAATGACACAATTTTTACTTAATAATTAACAGTACAATTTGCATAATTATTTAGCATACATTTTACAAGTGCAAATAGTTATCCTAAGATAAATTTCTTTAAAATAGTTATATAATAATAAATAAGCAAATTATTAAGATACTTTATTTTTAAGTATACATTTTAACTGGATTTAATGAGTATTGCAAAACGTATTTAATATTAATATTATTTATTACTATACTTACTAAGAAATAATATACTTATATATATTGGAAACAAAATCCAATCATGAAATATCAATTAATTAATTTAATCATTTTGTTCTTCAGTTTGTACATAAATAGTATTGTATGCCGAGATAGATGTGTATTTTATTGTAAACACAGTTCATTACAATGAAATTAATGAAAATAAGACAAAAGTAAAACATTTAATCTATAATGAAACATAATATTTTGCATCAAACATGTTTGGCATTAATAATTATTGCATTTCGATTTTTTTTTAATTTTTCGTATAATAATATCAATTGTTGATTCTAATTTTATTTGTTTTAATGCACTAACATAATGTGTGAATAAGTACAAATATTAACATAATATCTAATATAGAAAAAAAATATATAATTTCTTTAAAAACATACATTAAAACGATGTATGACAATGTTACTTACCAATACTAATATTATACATGATTTCATTTTCCATGAATCATATATATATGTAATTAGAATAATTTGCCAAGTAAAGAATCATTTTTACAAAATATATGCAAATATTTGCGAATAATGAAAAATGAAAGTTTTTGAAGCTTATTATTACTTATATTTAATCAAATTTTTTGTGTAACTGCTGAATGGTATCTAGAATTGATGATGCAGCTTTTAAACAATAAGTTTTGTGTTCATATATAATTATTATGTTATCCTTGTATTTTTTTTATTTAGTTTTTTCTTTATTTTCGTTTGTTCTTCTCTTTTTTTTTTCTTTTCTTATTATAAAACATACAAGGTTTAAACTTTGAAATCATTATAATATTAAAAGAATTTACCTTGTAATGTGCCTATAAGAAGAGCTGCATTACATTATCTAGAACTGTGATTTTGAGAACCATATGTGCATTATATTATATTATTTGAGTGTACACAAATGTCTATTATTGCGAACAATATTTGTGCACTTATTATACTGTAAGTTACCTCAGAGTACTTTTCAACATTTAATAGTACTATTTGCATTCGCAATAAATTTATATTAGTGAAAATATATTGTATAATATGTATACTTCAAAAAATATGAATAAAATTTCACAGTAAATACGAATTACCTAACACAATCTAAAATAAATAAAACTTTATGAAAAATGATATATGATTTATTTTTTTATTCGTTTATAAATATAAGTACATATATATATACATACATATATATATATATATATTACTTTTGCTACTATTTTAAAAATAAATATGATAAGAATAAATGTAATGTTTGTTATTTGTGTAAAATAATATTTTTCTACAGTTATAATTTTTTTTTTTAAGTATTAAGAAATTTGATTTAGTTGAATTTAAATAAATTTTGAATTTGTTTAACTATTATTTTTAATATTTTATAAGAAAATGTTTAAAATTTTACTTATTGTAGATAATTATCTTATAGATAGTCTACATAAATATTTCAAAAACACGTTGAAAATTATTGTTTTCAGGCTGTTCTCGTTTCATCGTAGGAGAGACTACAAACGAACAAGAAAAAGATATTGGAAGAATGCGTCATGAACGTTATTTAGATGTTATAGTTTAACTTTATTTCTTAACAAATTTCACTTGACAATAATTATTAGAAAACTTAGAAATATATTTCTCAATAACATTATGCCATACCATTAAAATATTTAGTTAATTTACGATATAACTATAATTATTAGCTAATTCATGCATTAAACTTGAACAATTTATGATTTTTTCCAGATGTATTTCTTAATATAATATTCAAAAATATTTAAAATTGTATGTTTTATTTTTATTGATATTGTTAAATGGAAATTAAATATTTATTTTCAAAATTAAATTATAATTGTATTCAAAGAATATATATTGTTAAATAGATTTTTGTATAAAATTTATACATAAAAAAATTGCGAAGTATATTAATTTGATAGTTATTAAAGAAAAAAGAATATATAAGATAATATAAAGTAAAATTGAAATTTACTTACCAAAAAACATTCCTAGAATGTAGAAAATCAATTTAAAATTTTTTAAATTTTAGATTAGTAACAAAATATTCTACAAAAAATTTATAAGTGTTAGTATTTTATAAAATATGTATATAGTGCAATTATAGATGAAAAATGCTCTATATACAAAATTATTTAGACAAACTTTTTAAACTTCTATTATAATATTTATTAGTAAATTTTTATATGTATGTAACAATGTATGTGATTGACATGATTTATATATATCATGTATAATGAATATTGTTCTTGTAAATATATATTTCCAATACATAATGTTAAAATTTATTAACTGTGATATTCTTGTCCAACACCTATTGCTCATGAATATATATAAATATTATTCTATGTATAAGAATGTGATGGACATTTTCCGCATGTGTAAAGCTTTTCAATTTTTTTTCTAATTTAATTTTAATAATATATATTTGATATTTAAAAGCCACAATATATTATATTAAAATTAGTCAGGCTTTTTATCTCGCACATATGTAATATAATGAATTTCATACATCTTTTCTTCTTATCTATCTTATTATAAAATTTGCATAAAGCTTCGAATTTGTTCGTGATTAATACCCGTCTATTATGTGATCAGTAAATAAATATATCATAAAACAAATTATGAATGTATAATGATGTATAATTAAATATATATAATTCATATCAATTTTTATAGAAACAATTGTAAATAGGCCTTCGAATACGAGTTTAAAATCGTTCATATTTCATTAATTTTTATCCCATAAGTAAATATTTCCAGCATGAGAAAAAATAAATTAGTTAGCTATGGAACATTTATAAAAATTAGGTTATAAATATAACATATTGTAATCTTGATAAATATATATCACATAGAACTAAAAAATTTCATATTAGTCCTAATTTTCCAAGAAGTAATTATTCAAAATTTAGTATAGAGAAAAATTATTTTAGGATGTATTTCACCATAAAGAATCGTTGGTGCGTATAATATCGATACAAACTATTATAACTAATATTGTGTCGTCTTTTATAGGAATTGCATTCTATGCAAAACTGAGTGTTGTACTGTCCGAACTTATTATAAAATAAGATGCCATTATTGTACAAAATCAAATAAACAATGATAAAATTTAAAATTGAATTGATATAAATGGAAATAATGTTTTTTAGTATAAATGGCAAATGATTTGTAGTTTGGATCACTGACAAATACACAAGAATACTTAATAAATTCGTATAAACAATTTAATGTAATTATAAAAGGATTATTAAATAATAATTTGAAATTAAAATAAAAATAATTTTATAAATAAGATGTATGTATCTACCTAAAATTTATTGTTAATTTTTAACAAATAATAGAACAAAAAAAGGTATTCTCAATACTGAAAATGTATTACTCCTAGCACATTATTAGAATTGTGTTTAAAAAATAAAGAATTAAATTACAATATAAATAATGTAAAATATCAGTATAAGAAATTAAAAAATTTATATTATCTACTGATATGAAAAAGGATAAAATTCATTATTTTCTAATCAGACTATAAAAAATCTGATGGTGAAAACATACTTGATTTCAAATATAAAATATTTCTATAAAAGTATCGCTTTGTTTATACTGTTTGTTCAATACATTTTCTGCAAAGCAGAAATCTTGGTATTTTGGCAGTACCTTCACTCAGCCTTAAAAATATGATAAATATAACTTTTATAAAATATCCTTATCAGTGAAAAATTAAGGATGTCAAAGAAATATAAAATATCCCACAATCATATGGATTTATTCTTCTATTCTTCTTTTTCTTGATCATCAGATTTTTCTTCATTTTTTTCAACATTTTCTTCTGTATGTTCTGCAGATTTTTCAGTATTTGTTCCACCATCATGTTCTATAGATTTAGATTCATCTGACTGTACATTTTCACTTGGTAAAGTTGTCCTTTTTTCAACACTAAGATAAAAAGTAATAAAAATAAATAAATAAAATAAAATAAATTTTATTTTCAAGGCAATTTTTTTATATAAATAAAATGATTTAATGATTTAATATATAACAAGCATATATTTACAGTAATAGTAATAATTATTCAATCTATATGATTAATCACAAAATTATGCAATCTATATAATATATATTTCTATGTTCTATAGAACTTACCTTTCTGCCTCTACTGCACTTGCTTCTTTATCTGTAGAGGGCTAAAATAAACATGTAGTAGTTAATACAGACAAGTTACAAATTTAGTGCCAAGGACAAAACACCGGCAAATAAACATAAGATGATTATAAATCAAATTCTCCGAAGTAAAGTTAAAAAAAAACATACTACATATAATGATATAAATATATATAATATATAAAATAACATTTAACATTTTCTATGGAATTTCCAGATAATTAATAATGTCTACCTCTCGACTTGTAGTATTTCCATTTTCTTGAATTTCCTTACTTTGATTTAAATCAAGTACATTTTCTTTTGCACTAACAGGTGGTGCTACTTTTAAAAATTCTTCCAATTCATCTATTTCATTTGCCAAATCAAAATCTTCATAATCCTATAGAATGATTCATTATAAGTATTTATAGTTTAAATAAAAGTTATTTAAAGTTCAAAAATCATAAAAATTTTATACAAACATTTTTATACAAAATATCCTTTATTATTATCATGAAATTATAAGATTCAGAATTTGTATAATAATAATTACCCCGCAATATTCTTCTTCATTAAATATTTGTGGAGGTAATGGATATTTACTTTCTCTCGCGATACTATTAGTTTGCATAAATTCTTTTTCCATTTCTTTCCCTGGTTCCGTTATATCAATTGTTTCGTATTCTACATTTTTGCTATCTAATATCATTAATACTCGTTGTTGTCTTTTTTTTACCTAAAAAAAAAAATGAATTCAATATATTTATACTTTATTATCTAATTATCTAATCTTAAATATATCTAATCTTAAATATATTGTTATTTAATAAAAGATAAAGTTTCGAAACTTGATAAACAAGTTACGATTATTTCATGTTCTGGTGCAATATAAAGCAACGTATCGATTCGAACAAAACATATACCGTTATGATCATATCAATAATTATTAATAATAAAATTTAGTTTAAAACTATTAAAAATATAGTTGAAAACTACTAAAAAATAGATTGAATAAAAAATCAAACAAAAAAAGTTTAAAAACATAATATAAGTATTCATTATAATGAAAAATATAAACACTAATAAAAAGTTTGATTATTCAAAATCTGAGACTATTATTCATAAATATTTTTTCATTTGTTAAATTAATTCATAAATTCATTTTCATTTTTTATTCTTCACATTTTCATTGTTATATGCATAAATTTATGCATTAATATATGCATAAATTTTAGTAAGTTCGATATAATGTAAGCTATATTATTCACTTGATACTATTTTGTTAATTGAATCTAACATACGTTTTTCTGATATCAAATGTATCTAGCCAGAAGAAAATTGCATTTTGATAGAGGCGTAGTATGAATCATTTCATTCGATAAACTGCATCGCGTGTCACATTCAATAAAAATCTCTAATAAATGACAGTGTCCGATTATTAATTGACATTTCGATCGTGAAGTTTATTCAGTGTAATCCGATACAATGTAGACGTGAAATATCGTTAGAATTCAGGTGCCCGGTAAATCTGGCATTCAAGTTACATACATATACGAATTCACATACACACACACATTCTCTCTTCTTTTTTGTTCCTAGCTCTCGAATAAAATATTTTTATATTCTTTAGTTTTTCGCACTCACTTCTTTGTTTCCACTGATGCCCGATATGTAGATTTTAACGACCATCGTTAGTCGGTGCTTTCGTTACTAATTGACACTCTCACACTTCTGTTCGATATGTGCCACGATTAGCGGTTTCACGAAGTGATAAGCGATCAGTGAATCACTATAGGCTATTAGTTCACAGATCACCAACGGTGAGCAACACTGATTTAACACGCACGGGATAGTCTGGGATCCACTAGCTACGTCATTTCAGGCCGGTTTTCGAGAGTTCTCATGCACGTTTGCACAACTTATCCTTTTTTCTGCAACCACGATCGAACTGAGATAACAGAAATCTCTATACCAACATAACTTGATCGAAATGTAACGGTTCTGTATTGAGGTCAACTGCGCAACTACCTGTCCGTGAAAATTTTTTGATTAGAATAAGATTGCATATTCGCCGTACTTGTATATCCTCGTATTAAATAAATGTTTTTAATATAACTGTGGTTTATAATTTAATTTCGATGATAGATTTAAATGTTTTATGCAATAATAAAACAGAATATAATGTTTATTTAATTACGCGAGAACGAATTCGTTTATTATCTTCTAATGCACAATTTAAATTCGCGCTTTTCATGAATGCGCCATTTCATTGTGATTTCCGGTGATTGAAACGCGCAATGAATATTGGACTTCATAGTGCTTTCTTCTTTTCCGGTTCTATTGGAACGTATCCTGTATTTCTGCAAAATGGTAAAGATTGTTATTCAGAAATATTTTATAAATCTTATTGAAATACTGATAAAATTAAATGTATTAAATATTGAAAAGTAT